ACAAATATTTGTAATTTTGTAAATAATTGTAAAATTACAGTGGAATTGCCAAAATGAACTCTAGATGCTAGAAGAAAAGAGAGTGAATGATTCTGAGTAAAAGAATATTTTCCAGTTTAAATGCCATACTTCTCTAGAATGCAATCAAATACAGGTGGTGTAAAAAGAAAATGTTCAGGCCAGCAAAACCACAAAAACTCTATCTCCCAGATACCCTTTCTCAGCATGTAACTGGAGAGTGTGTTCTACCCCTCTCACGAGTAAATCGAAATGGAACTAGGGAGCCCTACAGGGGGCGCTTTTGCACACATACCATTCCCCGCAGCGGGCATTGCCGCAGGAAGAAGGAAGATGATGAACTTAGCAAGGGAGGTATTTTCGATCAAGAGCAGAGATCAATGAGGTAGAAACCAGAGATACAGTAGAACGTATCAATGAAACTAGAAGCTGGTTTTTTGAAAGAATCAATAAGATTGATAAACCATTGGCCACACTAATCCAAAAGAAAAGAGAGAAAGCCCAAATTAATAAAATTATGAATGAAAAGGGAGAGATCACAACTAACACCAAGGAAGTAGAAGCAATCATCAAAAGTTATTATCAACAGTTATATGCCAATAAGCTAGGCAACCTAGATGAAATGGATGCATTCCCGGAAAACTATAAACTCCCAAAACTGAACCAGGAAGAAATTGACAACCTGAATAGACCAATATCTAGTAACAAGATTGAAGCAGTTATCAAAACTTCCCAAAAAACAAGAGCCCAGGACCTGATGGATTCCCTGGGTAATTCTACCAAACTTTCAAAGAAGAAATAACACCTATTCTCCTGAAGCTGTTTCAAAAAATTGAAGCAGAAGGAAAACTTCCAGGCTCTTTCTATGAAGCCAGCATTACCCTGATCCCCAAACCAGGCAAAGACCCTACCAAAAAGGAGAATTTCAAACCAATATCACTGATCAATATGGATGCTAAGATTCTCAACAAGATCCTAGCAAACAGGATCCAACAGCACATTAAAAAGATTATCCACCATGACCAGGTGGGATTCATCCCTGGGTTACAAGGATGGTTCAACATTCGCAAATCAATCAATGTGATAGAACAAATTAATAAAAGAAGAGAGAAGAACCACATGGTCCTCTCAATTGATGCAGAAAAAGCATTTGACAAAATCCAGCATCCGTTCCTGATTAAAATGCTTCAGATTATAGGGATAGAGGGAACATTCCTGAACCTCATAAAATCTATCAATGAAAGACCCACAGCAAATATCATCCTCAATGGGAAAAAGCTCTCAGCCTTCCCGCTGAGATCAGGAACACGACAAGGATGTCCACTCTCACCACTCTTGTTCAACATAGTATTAGAAGTCCTAGCAACAGCAGACAACAAAGATAAATAAAAGGTATCCAAATTGGCAATGAAGAAGTCAAACTCTCTCTCTTCGCAGATGACATGATTCTTTATATGGAAAACCCAAAAGACTCCACCCGCAAACTATTAGAACTCATACAGCAATTCAGTAACGTGGCAGGATACAAAGTCAATGTACAGAAATCAGTGGCTTTCTTATACACTAACAATGAAAATACAGAAAGGGAAATTAGAGAATCTTAAAAAAAATTCTTGGAATTGATTCTCTAATCAATTCCAAGAATTTTTTTTTTTAAGATTTTATTTATTTATTTGACAGAGAGAGAGAGATCACAAGTAGGCAGAGAGAGAGGCAGAGAGGGGGAAGGGAAACAGGCTCCCTCCCTAGCGGAGAGCCCATCACCCAAGAATTTTTATCTCCTGCTTTTAAGAAAAGGACTAAAGATTTCTCCCAGTTCCTGCAACCAGGCGCTAACCACTGCTTGAAGCCAGTGAGAAATTGCCACAACCTCACACTAAGCAGAAGTTTTTGGTCACAAGAGAACAAATATATTATACGCATAATTTTCCCTGTGTAATTGCCATTTTGGGAGCTAGAAGGGGTGGGAGCAGATAGAGAGCAGACACGTGCAGGACCTCTGAGGTTGAGTGGTCCAGAAGCTGCAATGGCAGGCAGATCGGCTCCAATTTCAGGAAAGGTTTGAAGAGTTTTAAGCACCTGGGTTGTCTGTGTAAATCTATCTCTTTGCATTTCTAAAGTCATGTAAATGAAGAGACAAAGGCTTTTGCTTTTAGATCCACCAGTTCTGTGTTCTGAACAATGTTTTCTTATTTCCTTCCTTTTTATAACCCAACTTCCCATGGAACCTTGGTGTTTGGTGTCCATTTTGGCCTTTCTGGGCCTCTTAAAGAGAGAGACAAAAGGACACAGAGAGAGAGAGAGACAGAGAGAACAAAGCTGTAATGATTCCTTTGGGAGTATCAGAAAATATGAGGAATATCATCTTCCCATTTGTAAAATGAAAATTGGTGCATATTTATTTTAAGTAACTTGAGCATTCAGTTGGAGAATACAATTGTTGAGGTGGGATCTGAAAGGACATCTCTTCTGAGTGTGGAAGAGTAAGTCCAGTGTGTACTGAGAAAAAAAAATGCTCGTGGAAAGCATGTGCAAATGTTCTGCTGGGATGTTACACGTACCCTGCAGTGCAGGAAATGATCTCTCTATTATCTCTTTCTTTCAGACAGAGGCATAATTAAACCTCATCTTGATAATCTTGCCTCCACCAAAAAAAAAAAGTCATATTGGCATATGTTTCAATGTTCACAGTCTCAAAAGACAACACTGCATATTCTAAGGACTCAGATGTGGGGACAGGATTGGGTAAGCATCTCCAGAGGGGTAGAAGAACGTGCTGGTGAAACCAGGGTATGAAGCAAGTGGGGGGCCAGAAGATAGGTCTCAGTTTCTGGTTTGCATTTTGCAAGTCTCTATTGAAAATTCTCACAAAGCAGTATCATTATGCCTCCATCAGAAAGGATGAATACCCAACTTTTGTATCAACATGGACGGGACTGGAAGAGATTATGCTGAGTGAAATAAGTCAAGCAGAGAGAGTCAATGATCATATGGTTTCAGTTATTTGTGGAGCATAAAGAATAACATAGAGGACATGAGGAGATGGAGAGGAGAAGGGAGTTGGAGGAAACTGTACAGGGAGACAAAACATGAGAGACTGTGGACTTTAAAAAACAATCTGAGGGTTTTGGAAGGGTGGGGGGTGGGAGGTTGGGTGAGCCTAGTGGTGGATATTATGGAGGGCACGTATTGCATGGAGCATTGGGTATGGTGCATAAACAATGAATTGTGGAACACTGAAAAGAAATTAAAAAAACAAATTTAAAAAACAAAACAAAACAAAACAAAAAAACCAGTATCATGTCCAAATACCAAAGACTGTCCACAATTTGTTTCCTGTCTAAACCTTAAGCCTGACTTCTAATTATTTGCTGCACACATAATGCACTCTTACGTGCTCCCAGAAAACACCACCAGCAGGCATTTCTTTAGGACTTTTGCCAGCAGATGTGGTCTCATTCTGCAGATGAAAACTCCTGAGGGCATGATTTTTAAGTCCTGGCTCCCACGGTATTTTCTTAGGGAAAGGTTTTCCTTGAATTCTGCACACCCCTTGGCAGGTAGAATTGTTTCATCCTCCTGTGTGTTCCAGCAACATCTGGCATACTAGTAACATGAACTCATTTATCTGTGACCTACTCTTACAGCCTGTGAGAGCACTCAGGACAAGGGCTGATACCATGGTATCCACTTCTGTGTGGTGGTGACATAGTGACATCAGTGACAGAGCAATGCCTGACCTAGAGCCCAAACTCCTTTTTTGGATGAATGTGTACATAAAGAAGTTTTATTCCTTAATTTCAGTAACACATTGGTTCAGTCCACAAGTTCCCAAAGACACCGTGGGAAGATGGTGCATGGCTTCATCTATTTTTGTCATGAAAGGTATGTTCATATATCTTTTAATGTCCTCTATTCACACGCATACCTTAGTTTCCTGGAGAATGAGAAGAAGTTTCATCACATCCCAGAGACACAATACAGGTGACTAGAGGGGCAATCTGGAGTATCTTACAGTTTAAAGAAGAGCCACTTAGGGTTATGTCAATAATTAATCTGAAATAAAAGAATCCCACATCTGTGATTCATTTTACCACGTATTTATTTGTTTAGCTAGTTAGCTATTAAGATGAACACATCAGTTAAGCTCTGACCCTAATTTAGATACATTGCTCCGTCCAATGTTGCTTAGATCTACTTGTGGAATATTTATCAAGTTCATGCTCCTCAGGGCTTCATGGCTGCATCCTTGCCTTCAAAAAAATCAAAATAGCAGAGAGTCAGTCTAATGTTTAGCAGCCCAGACAGTCTTTTGGGTGAACACTTAGCTCCCACACCCTATCAGGAGTGGCCCAGAGCATTCTTCCTGTCCAGTCTCAGAGCCCATCTGCTGCACAGAGCTATATGAGTCATGCCCAAAAGACAGGAAGAGAGAGAAAGACAACAAATACCGGATTCAGAGGCAAATCCAGAGATTCAGAGGCTAAGACACACTCGTGAGCATGCGTCAGCCTTAGATTATGTGTGAAGCCGCCTATGCCTTAAACAGGGAAGACAGGCTTTTCAGAGATACCTTGAGGAAAGTTCTGGCACAGAAATGGCCAAGTAGAGAAAGCTCCAGAAGGGAAGAACATCTCTTTCTGTTTTGCAATTCTCTCTCACCTTCTCAGTCTCCACTAAACTCTTTCCTTGGTTGGTTCTGTAAATGGTGCTGGTCTCAGGCAGATTCATTCTCCAGGACTCTCAAATGTCCTCGTTTCACACTACTTTCTGTTCAGCCCCTTAATTTTGTTCTTCATTCTAACAAACAAATGAAAAACCCTATTGCTGTTAATCAGCTGGGAAACTTATCTGACAAATGTCTTAAGTATAAAGATAGTCATCAGTGTCATGAGCCAACCCATGCTAACTGTCCATCTGGAGTACACTGTAGGAGGAAGGCCCCTGAGGCTCATTGTAACCACGTTCTTCACCAGTGGACAGCTCAGCTGATGAAAAATGGACCCAGAAAATAGTGGCAGGGCAGGTCTTGCTCTCCCAAACCCACAAGGGCCCTCCAGGTAAGTACAAGCTACTCTTTTTTCCTATTCCCAGTGGGCCAGAGACAGTCACAGTGCTGGGGAGATGCCAGTTCATGGATGTAGACACAGACCCAGCTGGTTGAATTAACATATGGAGTATAAGGAAACACGTTGCTATACTTTGCCAGTAGTTCTCTTGGGGTGATAAGGAAATTTAAACTTAGCTTGTGAACTGGAAATAAGTTTTCTTACAGCAGGGGCTCATTTTCTGGGATTGAGGTAGGAGAGTTCGTACTATCAGTTGAGATTTCTTGCCTCAGCAACTGATGTATGTTAAGGGAAACTTTTCAACATGACCTGGGACTCCTTACTGGTTACCATTTGTGAACCACAGGCTAAGGGGATCCTGCCCCACTGTTCAGAGGGAAGCATTCATGAGTGAGTCTGGTAGAGGAGCATGATTCCATTTTCCTTTGCATACTGAAGATGAACATGTTATTAAGACTTTCCTTTTAAAGTTTTTAGGAGAGGCTGATGACAGAGCTTTGAGAATCAATATTGGATTGACTATCACTGCAAAATATTAAGTATATTCCAAAGTTTTAGAAGGGACAGTATTTGCAATTAGCCTCATCTGAGGATGAAAGAGGGAACAGAGATTGAACTAACCCGTCAGAGCCGTTCCTGTGCACAGGAAGTTGAGTGTGAATGTGCCTTTGACGAAATATATTCAGGTACATTTCTGTGTTAAAAAGACTAAGAGACACATGGGTAAACGTGCCTGTTTTTATTTTTACTCATTAGCATAGATCACTGGGAAAGAACTTGGTGTAGTAACCCTGGATTAGGACTTGATTCATTTTCTGTTCCATTTTGTTCATCTCGTCACTGACTAGACAGTGATCTTGGCCACCAACTTGGACCCCCTGAGCCTCAGCTTCTTACACATTTCAATGAAGATTTTAATTACAAGATTGTTTTTGAAAAAAATATACAATCAAAATCCTCCTTTTCTGTCAGTTGATAACTTTTCACAGAGAGAGAGAATTTTCTCATGGCTGAATTTCTGTTTAAACTTCACAGTGTACCTGAAATTGAACTTTCGGAAGTATCTCTCCATGAAAACCCCTTACTGAAGAAGGCTGCCTCATCCCCACCATGCCACACATGGCTCATATTTTTGAAGAGGGAACTGGAGTTTCTGGGGGTGAGTGAGCATCTTCCAACCTTAACCAGAGTAGGACTGGCTCTAGGAAAGAGTAGTTGCGTGCATGAACATGGTTTCCCTACTTGGATTCATGAGGCATGAGAAACCTGGTAGATGAAGAGGTGACACTGGGCCCAGTTGAGTAGAGAGAAGCATTTCTTCATGAAGACTAGGATAAGAATGGCAAATAGGATCTGCCAATTCTGGTCAGTTGCTGGTAGATTAATATTATTAATATCCAATTAATAATTTTTGTCTACACTTCAATGGAATGAACAATTATTGATGTCCACCATGACTATGTAAATAAAGGTACATGAGAAATGATTGGCCATGTCTGCATTAGGTCATGCCTGAATCCACTCTTAGAGCAACCTGATGGTACTGGAAAATATTGCATTTGAATTCTGTCTCAGGATTGCCTGAAACACCAAAGCAATTTCTCATGTTTGGGCTTCAGTCATAAGGAATGTGAATGTGTTAAGGAAGTCTTGGAGAAATCCTTCTTAGTCTACAAAACATATGCATTTTTTACAGGTAACACAAATTCTGGTTGGCTTGATATGTCTTTGTTTCGGAACAATTGTCTGCTCCGTGATCAATATTTCAGAACTTAAGGAAGATGTTTTTTCATCATTTAAAGCAGGCTACCCATTCTGGGGAGCAGTGTTTGTGAGTAAATATCTACATTTGCTTCTGAAATAACACTGCACATAGCTTTTCTCTTGTCTAGGTCAGATCCAACCAATGACTTATTCCAGTATTTAAAGTGTATAAACATATAGTAGTTTGCAAAATGCTTGGGTTAAACATGTTAGCACACTTTTGTCAGATGAGAAACCTGAGATTGATAAAAGTTAAATGAATTACCCAAGGGACATTTAGCTAATAAAAAATGAATCTAAACTTTCAGGATCCAATTCCAGAAAAATATCCCTAACTCTACTTATCCATCAAGTTATCTTCATGAAGGCAGGGGGAAGAGACTGAGAGGTGGGGAGAACAAGGTCAAACAAGGTCAAAGACATCTGATGAACTGCTCCTACGTCCTAGCAACTCATTTAGGTGCTTTCTCGTTGTATCTCCTTTAATCATTGTACTGTTTCTAAACTAGATGATTCAATGAGATCACAAAAATATACAGCTTTATTGATGTATAAATGACATGCAATCAATTGCACATATTTAAAGTCTACAGTTGGATACATTTGGATACCTGTGTACACATGTGATAATATTACCACATCAATATAATGAACATATCCATCACCTCCAAAAGCTTCCTCACACCCCTTAGTAATCCCTCCATTTCTTGACTTTCCATCCTTAAGCAAACACTGATCTGCTTTCTGTCACTTTAGATTAGTTTGGATTTTCTAGAATTTTATATAAAGAGAATTACATAGCGTATTCTCTCTACACTCTGGCTTCCTTCACTCAGCATTATTATTTTTAATTAGTCCATGCTGGTTTTTGTATCGACATCTCATTCACAAGGACATACTTTAACTTTAAGAAATATTGCATTCGCTTGGCACTCTGCTAAATACTTAGGAATTATCAGGTCACCTACCTGTTCACAACTCTCCTTGAACTTCTGCCGTATTTTATTTTTTTTTTTACTTTTTATTTTTTTTAAAGATCTTATTTATTTATTTGACACAGAGAAAGAGAGATCATAAGTAGGAATAGAGGCAGGCAGAGGGAGGGGGGGAGTAGACTCCCTGCTGAGCAGAGAGCCCGATGTGGGGTCAATCCCAGGACCCCGAGATCATGACCTGAGCTGAAGGCAGAAACTTAACCCACTGAGCCACCCAGGCACCCCTGCCATATTTTATTTAACCCTTCTCTCTACTGTCCTTCATTCTGTATGCTTAGCTTATTAGGTGTCTCTCAACCCATCGTACATGAAATTTTGAAATTTAAGCTTTGAAATTGTTTTGAATTTGTGCTGTTGATTTACATTTTCAATGAATCTTCTCCCATGTACATTTTGTAATTACTATATGTCTATATGACATATGTCAGACTTGAGATCTACATGCCACAAACACACATTTCTTGCCCAAAGGAGCTGACACTCTAACACACAAGATGCTCAGACAAACAAATAATTACAACAAATTAGAGTCATTCTGTAATAGTCATGTACCAGGTCTGCAGGACCTTGCTACTCTGAAAGTAACGATGGATTGTCAGGGTCAGCATCACCTGGGAGGCTGGTAGAAATGAAGAAACTCAAGAAACCTCCAGGACCAATTAAGTAAAAGTCTGCCTTTTGAAAAAGACCCATAAATACAGAGAACAAGGTGGTGGTTGCCAACAGGGAAGAGATTGGGGGGATGGGTAAAATGGGTGAGAGGAGTGGGAGGTACAGGCTTTCCATCATACAATAAGTAAGTTACAATGATAAAAGGCACAGTCCAGGGAATATAGTCAGTCGTGTTCTAAGAGTGTTACATGGTGACAGTTGGTAGCTACACTTGTGGTGAACATGGCATAATGGATGGAGCTGTGGAATCACTATGTGATACACCTGAAATTAATGTAACATTGTGTGTCAACTGCACTTCAATTAAAAAAACAGAATCTGTATTTTAACAAGGCCATCCCATGATTCATGTGCAGATTTAATATTGAGAAGCACTATATAGGAAAGAAGAGTAAGATATAATGAGCTTCTGGGGAATATTAATACATAGCTTTATACCCACATGGGGCGCCTGGGTGGCTCAGTTGGTTAAGCAGCTGCCTTTGGCTCAGGTCATGATTCCAGGGTCCTGGGATTGAGCCCTGCATCGGGCTCTCTGCTCAGTGGAGAGCCTGCTTCTCTCTCTCCCTCTGCCTGCTGCTCTGCTTACTTGTGCTCTCTCTCTATTTCTCTGTCAAATAAATAAATAAAATCTTTTAAAAAAAGTTATTATAGAGTACCCACAACTTTATGTCATATTTGGAGGATGGGGCTGTAGGGGAAATAAATGTCTAAGACTCACTGGGCTTTCCCCCTTTTCCTTTTGTACAGTTTGCTATTTCTGGATTTTTGCCAATTATGTCTGAAAAAAAACACACTACCTGTCTGGTGAGTTGCCATTCTGTCTTTATCCATCCTTGAGAAGACAAGAAAGATGGAGTTTTAGGAGTCTTGAGGGAGACGTGTCATCATCTCCTATATTATGAGTGAACGTGGATATGTGGGCTTTTTTCCCCCCGATCTTTGTGTTGGATATAATCACTAAAAATATAATCATTAAAATATCAGTTGTCTTTTTTAGAAGACAATAGAGTATAATTATCTTCGCACTTGATTAGAAAATATCCTTCCACTGGGCCTTGTCCTTGTAAGTACAATCATCTGATCAGATATGTCACTTGTTTCTGATTAAGAAGATTGTTTGAGGAGAGATGATGTGTGTCCATGTGGTCTTTTCTAAACACAGTCTTGGGAATAAGGTTACAGATCCTTATTAAACAATGAGTATATTTCCAAGATTTTCTTTTTTAATTTACATTTTGATCCAACGCAAGGTTTTAATTGTGGGCAACACAGCTCTAAAAATGCAGACAGGCCTACTGAACGCACGGGCAGGTGGAGGCTCGGGTCTGAGTGCTGTCCTTCACCATCAGGTGTGGGGAACCCTGTGGTCCAACACTGTCAGCAGCATAGCTGCCGGAATAGGAATCTTCATCCTGACGGTCAACCTGAAGAAGAGCTCTGCTTTTATCTACAACTGCCAGGAAGTTTACGGAGAGGACTTCTGCTTTATGGCTTGTTTTTCCACTGTATGTATTACTTGTTGGGGAGCTAAGATCTGGGTCCCACTCTAAGTGAGATCCCTCCTTCCCTTTTCTGTGAACAATGTCCTTTGCTATAACCTCTCTCCCACAATGTGCTATTCTGGATGTTCATGCACAGAGATGCTGACTGCCACCCCCTCTCCTGCTGAATCCTGTGACATTGGAGTCACCTGCATTGAACCATTTTGTGGCTTTCCCATGTGTGTGTCACTTCACTGGGACTGATCACGACGGGGAGTGGTGGTTTGTGATGAAATGGTGATGAAATCAGGGGCTGCTATAAAGGAGTCCACTTTCAGGGTACCTATCTTGTGACTCGACTTGTCTTGGCTATTGTTCAACAGGAAATTGTGGCAATGATCCTGTTTCTCACCATTCTGGGATTTTGTAGTGCCGTGTCCCTCATAATCTATGGGGTTGGAGAAGTAGTCCAAGGGAACAAGGTAGGTAGAGGCCTAATTACTCAATCCTGAATGACAAGCTGAAGAATTTAAGCTTCATCACTTAAAAATATGGCTTGGATTTCCTACATTTCTTCTAGAAAATTTTTTGTCCATGTTTCAGTATTTTGATTTCCAGATCTCTTATTTTAAATCAATTTTCCACTCTTAAGAGCATAAATCTCATGGTATAGCCCCGTGACTGAGGATTAGGAAAGTGGAATCTTCATAATTTTAGAAATTGCAGATATGCTTCTAAGTATGTTGAGCGTGAGAGACAAATATGCGGTAGCATATGATGGAAACATTCAGGTATCTGGGCTTATTTTCTCTTCCAGAATAGCTCTCTTATATTTGTTCTTGCTCTCTCCTTTTTCTTGGCTTTCATCTTCCTACATGCTCTGAAGCCTCAATTTTCTTTCCTTCCTTATTCACAGTTATCAGCTGCATTTTCACTTGCCTTACCCATCCACTATACCTTTGATATATGAAAAAGAATCACCAATGCTTGACGTGCATACACTTACTCAAATCTTCAGATGATACACACTCTCTCCATCTGTCCACCTGCCTGAAGCATTCAAGTCTGGTGGCCTTTTTTGATTGCTTTCCTCCAAAGATAAATAAGACAGCAGGTATACCCAAGTTCAGACACGTAATAGCCTTGCCAACTTGTTTTTGACAGATGTTAATTTCTTCTGGGCCCACTTGGCCAGTCAGTCTGGCTTGATTTGTTGGAGATGGAGGGAATAATTATGGTGTAATGAGGGAGAGTATGAGACTCAGAAAGGCAAGAAGAGATGAGTTAGGTTGCACAAATTTTTCGTCTAGTGTTGGAAAATTCCTGGTGACTGATATTAAATAATTTTTCCCTCATCAGATTGCAGAAGATCGTCTTTATGAAGAATTAAATATATATTCACCGATTTACAGTGAGTTGGAAGACAAAGTGGAGGCCTCTTCTCCCGCTGATTCATAAGAATTGTGTCTTCAGACCATCCTGACTCACGGCAAAGGTCTAGAATAAGCCAAAATCTTTGTTTAAGGGGCTACCGGCAAAATTTCAGTTCTGTCTATGGTTTATCAGGTTTACATTAAGACTTATTCTCCAGATGGTAATATTCTGTCTGATGTTTCTGTTCACCTGAACTTCCTCCTACCCCATCCATTTGTGGATATGTGATAGACTTCTACTTTTCTTGTTTCCTATTGCTGTCTCGTACAGGAACTTTTGTGGGAAGTCAACATGTAACCAGCAAGTGTTTGCTATGTGCCTGTAACATCCACTAAACAAGTGGAAGGCTGGTTGAGAGCTGAGTCAAACTTTGTCAGTTTTGGAACATCTGGGTGACTCAGTTAAGTGTCAGACTCTTGATTTTGGTTCAGGTCATGATCTCATGGGGTTGCGAGATCGAGTCCCATGTCAGGCTCCTCGCTCAGTGGGGAGTCTTCTTGTGATTCTGTCTCTCCCTCTTCCCCTGTCCCTTCTCCCACTCCTTCTCTTTCGATCTAATAAATAAATAAATCAAATCTTTAAAAGAAAGAGTTTGACAGTTTGATCATATTTAGCTCTTAGCCCTTTTCAGAGTTCACAAGAGCTACACATGTGGTTGATAAATGTCCCCCTACTATGAATTTGGAGGTGAGAAGGAGAGCAGCTTAGCAGATAATTAATTAGCATTAGGAGGATAGTCAGATGGAGATTTGAATAGAATCCTGTATGCTTGTATTAATAATTTTGACGAATATTTATCATATCAGCTTAACAATGGATGCCTCCTGCTTATTTATGTGTGATCTTCTATGGAGAAACCAACATGGAATGCTGAAGGACCATCCATCTTATAAAATGCTTTGGAATCCCAGGACTATAGCTTATTAGAGTGTGCTATGGCAAGTTATTTAATTTTTTTGCTTGTTCTGGCTTTTCTCATCTGTAAGATTAAGACATTAGGAGTAATTTACCTGCCAGGATATTGGAAATAATTTACCTGCCAGGATCTGTTGTGGGAACACACACACACACACACACACACACACACACACACCTTACCATATATGTAACTTTTCACATGCAAGTATTTTGACATCCCCATAATGATATCATATTTTTTCACAGACACAAAGTCTCATAAAAATCTGTATTATTTCCTGAATCACCAGCACATTCACTGACATAATTTGTTCAATAATGTTTGCAGATTGATGAGTGGGCAGTGGGGAGTTTCACTAAGTTACTCAATATCTGGTGAGGTGGGTGGCTGAAAGCAGGAAAATCATAAATGGAAAGATCATTTAATGAAGAATGTGAAAAGAAAATAAATTAATGAAGACCTGAGCTGAAATGGAGTCAGTGGGAGTGGAGAGAAATGGTCATACCTAAAACACAGAGTGAAAGAGAAATTGGTAGATCTTGTTAACAAGTTGAATTAAAGGATAAAGTTAGACAAGCAACCAGTTGGTGAACACATTCTGTCATTGGGTCTCAGGTCAAAGGAGGCCACCTGCCAAAGTTGAAAGAACTGATAGGAAGTCAGAAATATGAACTGACGAGGGAGGAACACAGATAGACCTAAATTAAGCTCAGTCTCAGACTTTCATTTTTAGGAGACCAAAGAGAAATGCCATGGAGGGAGCCTGATTTTCCAATACAGAGTTTGGGGAAAGATGAAATTTGGTGTCATTATGAGAGAGATCATCGTTAAATGAAGCCGTTTAACACTCTGAGAAAATTATTTTGAGATAAAAGTGAAGCCAAGTTAACCTTCGAATATGGATAATCACAGGGAAAAGAAGAAGGAAAAACAAATCTAGGCTAGAAGTTACAAGAATTAGTCAGAAAAGTGCACTGTGAAACAGCAGGCAGCAGGCAGCTCAAAGTAAAGAGAGGCCCAGTAAAGAGAGAATAACTCACCATCAGAGACAGTACCTGCTGGTTTGGGCAAGAGAGACGTCTATAGGAGAAATCTTGCCCCCCCCCCCCCCCCCGGCATGGTTGAGAGAGAAGTCTGCCTCCAGGTGAGGCACAAAGATAGGGTAGAGCCGATAGCAATGGTGAATGAATGCCAGAGTCACGGAGAAATTCAAACCATGGCATGGTAAGTAAGTGAATAAAACTTTTGCAGAGGCATTTATAAAGGGCGTATGTGATATGAGAAGTAAGAAAATGAGCAGCAAGACATGGAGAAAAGTAAGCCAAATATTTATGTTGCTGCTGCTGTCTTTGTTATTAAGAGGAGGAAAAAGGAGTTCACAGCTTAGGCTAAGCAGATGAGTCCTGAAAAATCATTTTGTGGTAATATTCATAAGTCATTAATAAAATAATTATGTTTTATGTACTTAGAGTGCCAAAATTAGAAAGTGACAGGAAGATATTAGCTTCCCCAGACTAAAGAAGTGATCGCGTGACCACACACTTGGTTTGCTTACCCAATCCAGTCCCTCAGGTTTTCTACTTTCATTTATCTTTTCCTTCCTTCCTTTCCTTTTTTTTTTAAAAAGATTTTTTAAAATTTATTTATTTGATAGGGACAGAGAGGGAGAAGAGAGAGCACATGTAGGGGGAGTGGCAGACAGAGGGAGAGGGAGAAACAGGCTCCCTGCTTAGCAGAAAACTTAACACCCAGGACCCTGGGATCATGATCTGAGCCGAAGGCAGATGCTTAACTGACTGAGCCACCTTGGAGCCTCTCTACTTTTATTTTTCTGAAATAAAGTTAAGTTTCTCAAAATTTGATAGCAGCGTAAAAACACACCCTTTCACTGTGCTGCTTGCTAAGTGGTATTCCCACTCTGGACCACGTCACTCCTTGTGACATGTACATGCCCATCCAAATTCATACGGCTGGTCTATCAGGACCTCTAGAAATGCATCCAGTTTATCTTTACAACAGTACCATACAGTAGCACTCTTTCCCCCACTCAACTCCTATTTTAACCAAATTGTTGACTATATCTTTCCTGGGTACACAACACAATCTTTGTCTTACTCGGAGAGCCTCTTGTCACGAGCCCACTTCAGGCAGACAAGGAGCACACAGCTGGCCTGTTCTTCATACATGCGCTGCTTCAAATTATCTTTAAAAGTTTCCACGTAAAGGTCATTTTCTCCATGAAGGCAATGGTACCACACCTGTTCATCCAGCCTCCATTTCTTGCTCCCTAACCACTCTACCCCATGACGCAGTATATGATCATTTATTGTTAGTGTACTTGTGATCTTCCTGGTACGTTCTCAGTTACTAGTATTTGTGCAATAAACTGGAATACTTTAAGTTGATTTTTTGTCTGTGTTTGTATTTGTGTATGAGGATAAGGGTCTGACCAACAGTAACAGAATCAAAGCATCTGTTCAGTGATGCCTGGGACCAAGGAACATTTATGCAGTCCTCCTTTTTGACCAGCGTTTTATCCAATGGAGCAATAACCCTCTAGACAGAAAACAACTGTATGAGCACTTGTCTGCCAAGAAATGGTGGGATAAAGTGTAAAAGAAACTGTGATCATGAATCTCATTTTACAAGTAAGTTTTGACTCTAATTTATTTGCTGTTTTACATGAACTTGGAACAATCTTCTCTCTTTGTGGACCTCGGGTTCTGTGTCTGAAAATGAGCAGAAAGTTTTTGAAAATGCAATGGAAGATTTCCAACAGATGTTTCTGTTTTCATATTCTGTGCTTTTGGTAATCACACTGATTAAATTTGTGGCTGGGGTAGCAACAGCGATCCGAATTATTTGATACAAGTTGATGTATGGCCTAACAAGGCACCTGGGATGATAATATTTGTTCTAAACTCCTCTTACAAAAGCTAACCAAGGGTTTCTTTCTGAAAATTGTCTTAGAGATAAAATTTCCCAAATAATTCCTATTCTATGAAGTTTGGGTCCACTTACAAAAAACAGTGATAAAATAGGGTACTGCATTCATCATTTCAGCTTGATGTAGAGTGTTGAAGTGAATTTATATATGTAAGATTGTGTAAATCCATTGGTAGTTGCTGTGTTTCATGAGTATTTTCCTCTCCTGGAAAACCTCTACTCGCTGTGCTGTTAGTGGGCTCAATTAATGTCTCCCAAACAGCTTCTCCCTGGGATGCCTGCATAGGGTTTTGATGAATGACACTGAAGAAAAGGGATTGTTTTGAATGTGAACTTGGGAATATAATATACTCAGAAGCAAATTGTAGTAGCTATATTAAATGCCAGCTCTCTCATCTTGGGCAATTTTATCTTCATTAATTTTTATGATTTCTTGAATGGATGTACTAAACACAACTATTTTGAATTCATTGTGTATTTTCAAAGATCCTAGTGCCAAGTGCATGGAATGGTGCATGGGACCTATATTTGCATTCATGAATATTGATGCATAATCAAGGAAATTAGGAAAAGAGACACTGTCCCAACTTCTCAGAAGCCTTTCACAAAATTCACCTATACCTTGTCATTTCTAGTTGGAGAGAGTGGGTGTGGGACCCTGGAATGGATGAGGGAAGATAATTATTAGCAGCCTTCACATAGAATAGTTCTAGGTAAATTGAAATGCATGAAATACACATTAGAGGATGGCACTGTCTTTGCCCTAAACAGGTAGAGAAGTAGACGGGGAGAGGCCCTAGAGGAACAAGCTACCAGATGAGATTTGGGAAACGTCTAAAAACATTTGGGTGATGAGAAATTCTTAACACATACTATCAGCCTATTTAGAGCAAACTGCTAGGAAAATACAGTGCAAGACCCTCAGTGTGAAACAAACACAAGGAACAGAGGAATGGATAATCAAGGGAGATTCTGGGCTCTAACGTTAGGCTGTGCCACAGAGGTAACTGGATGGAATAGCTCATTTTCTGTTCTTGTTCTCTGGTGGCCCCAGATAACATTTTTGGGTTGGATTCTGACCTGTGCTTCTGTGAGGACTTGGTCCCTGGGATAGTTTTAGGGCAGGCAGAAGGAGGGCTGGCCATTAGTCTGTGCGAGAAAGTTTGGAATGGCTTTCTACATAGTGTAACAGTTTTCAGTACTTTCTTCTCCAGAGACAAGTATCCTAGGATAGACAACGGTCACTTCCAGCCTCTAGCCACATTTTTGCCACTTGTAAATGAACTGATATTTCATCTCACAGGATTCTATGCATATGGCAGTGGAACAGAATAAGGGATGATCCCCTGTGGGATACCAGACATTTCACTCCTTCACAGAACAG